GGAAGAGAGAGTGAGGACAAATCTTGTACTGGGTACTTGAACAATGAGAGTAAGAGTAAGAGTAAGAGTGAGAGTGAGAGCGAGAATGCTTGTATGTTGTGGTGTCGTGGTATGCCGTGAATAAGGAGTAGGTACCGTACTGGGTACTGGGTAGCTCTACCAGGTTGAAGGGCAAGGTGCAGGCAGACCACGCATCACGCATGCGTATGTCACACCTCATTGCGGTTTGGCATCGATCTCGTCTGCTGCTTCTGGAGTCTGCAGCTGCACCCTGCGCCTGCACCTGCATCTACCTCCCACCACTTGCACCAGCAGCACCACCACACCGGGGGTCCCTTACTCGGTACAAGCCCTGCTTCCCAAATGCTCCACATCCTCTTGATCCTCTTGCCTTGTGGTGTGTGTGTGGGCTCTTTTTTTTTCGAAAACGAGAGCTTTTTTTGCTTGCTTGCTTCTCATTCCTGTTCCCTTTCCACACCTCACTGTCAATCCTCTCCCACTGGAGCAGAAATCCGCCACCACAAGCCCAAGCCTCCCACACGCATCACACACCAGAGAGCACAACTTGACTGTCTGTGTCTCTTGGATCTGATTGATTTGATTGCCCGTACTGCCGTACACCTTCCTACGCTATTGAATCTGGGAAATCCTTCCTGGGGGCTGTCCCTCTTGTCGCGCTTCCATCCCTTGCTCACGTCCCATTGATTGGTTCTCTTTGCACCGCAACCACCAACCACACTTGTCCCTTGCTACGGCCGCCATTGATTGAATTGATCAACAGCAGCCAACAATAGCAACCACACGCTGGCCCGCGAGCCTCGTACCATCCCGCCTCCTTCGCTCCCTTTCTGGCCGTCCTATCGCCGTCGCCTGTCTATCTGTGGAACCTGGGGAAGAAACAGAATCTGTCAATTCTTCTTGCTCTGGTGGTATGTCCAATCCCTCCCATTTGCCTCCTTGCTTGCTGCCGTTGCCTCTTTCTCCCTATTACAGACCTGACAATCTGCTCCCAGACATCTCTCGTTATCATCCTCGGCGCTGGTCCGCTCCCTGCTACTCTTCGAGTCTCCCTAGAACTCTCCCACGATCTCTAATCCCAACTTTGCCACGCGCCTTCCAGGCATTCTTGCACTCCCTCGACTGACGGCGTCCCCCTTTTGCTTTCTCAGCGATATCGACCGATCGAGTCCGCAATAACTAGATAATTTGCTCGATCAATGCGCTGACAACCTTACCTTCGAACCTACCCCAACCCATCACAATTTCACCGCGAGAAAGTGCTTCAGCGAATATGCTGGCGTCTCCGCCGGCAATGAATGGTGACCATGGGCCAATGTTGGACAAGAATAACATCATAAACGTAAGAGACGGAGAATCGCTCTACCAAATATGCATCAAACTGCGCCGGCGCTTGTCCGGCGTGCCAGGCTTTCGCCCGTATCTCGAGGAGATGGAAGAGCGGGAGGCAGATGGTTCGACAGACCCAGTGTCTTCTCTATGGCAGTGTTTCCGGAGCGGCTTGCCGCTCCTCACTATTTATAATGCTTCCAACCCGGAAGAAGGCGACCTCACTGTTGACACGAGCCGGCCCGACAGAGTAGGGAAAGAGGCAGCATTTCTGTTCATCAAATCATGCATGCAGCAGATGAACATTCCTGCGGCCGATACCTTCACTGTGACCGATTTGTATAGTGACAATACCACTGGATTTGTGAAAGTCACAAAACTGGTGAACCGAGTGCTGGATATATTGAGACTGAGTGGCAAACTCCATCCGTCAACGGACAGTGAAGATTCTCGTGATGGGACGGATGCTGGTTCGAACGCCCCGGAGCCAAACCCCAAGACAATGACGCGGCGACAATATATTTTGAGAGAACTCGTGGAGACGGAAAGACAGTATGTCCATCACTTGCAAAATCTACAGGCGTTGAAGAAGGAACTGGAAGAAGTAGGCGCTTTGACCGGGGATGCCATCCACAACATTTTCCTCAACCTCAACAATCTATTGGACTTTGCGCAACGATTCTTAATTCGAATTGAGCAACAGAATGAAATGCCGGAAGAGCAACAGAATTGGGGTAAACTCTTTGTTCACTACCGAGATCCCTTCAGACAGTACGAGCCGTTCATCGCCAACCAGAGGAGATGTGAAGCCACTTGCCAACAGGAATGGGACAAGATGGTTGCGACCGCAAGATCACCTCTGACGCAACAGATGCTTGCAAATCCGACAATCCTCAACGGATTTCTCCTCAAACCCTTCCAGAGGTTGACGAAATATCCGCTGTTGTTGAAAGTAGGTACTATCTAAATAACCTGATGGTTCGTTGCTGACTGGCTCAGGACCTGCTTAATCAAATTGAAGACCCAACTCTGAAATCAGATCTGACAAGTGCAATTGCCATCATTCAAGATGTGCTCATGCAGGCGGACGCTTCCATCGACAAGGAAACGCGAGACGACGCCCTACAAGACTTGCAAGAGCGGATAGATGACTGGAAGCAATTGCAAATTTCGGCTCTCGGCGAACTTCTCCTGCTTGGAACGTTCAATGTCATGAAAGAAAGCGCCATCCGATCGGATGAGAAAGAGTATCACATCTACCTCTTCAGCCGGATTCTGGTCATGTGCAAGGATGTGAATGCCAATAAACCGAAGAACAGGCTAGCGAACAACAAGCCGGCGCTCAGCCTACGCGGCAAACCCAAGATGAACTTGAAAGGACGGATCTATTTTGCCAACGTCACCCAGGTCATCCCCCAGACAAGTCCTGGGAATTATTCCCTGCAGATTTCATGGAAAGGCGAGTCAGGCATTGAGACGTTCAATATCAAATTCAAGAACGACGACACACTGCAAAAATGGCATAACTTGATCGAGACTCAACGGTCGGCTTGCATGCTGGAGTCCAAGACAAGAGGCATATCTGAAACCCATCTTCTTTCCTTGCAAGGGGCGAATCTAGAAAACCCGTACCTTGCACAGGACGAGGACGACGACTACAACAGACTTTCTGGCACGACCTATGGCGGGACTGATGCAAACGGTTACTCCGAGTTCAGCATGAGCAGAAACGCCTCAAGCACGAGTCTTCGGTCGCGTTCCGCCACAGGAGGCAGTGGGGGGAGTGGCCCTCAGATGTCGGCGAACCGCATGCGAGTGCCAGCTGGGGAAATAGGGGCTCTTTCCTTGAATACTCGAGGTCTGCCCCTGGCGTCCCCGCAGGAATTTAATGGTGGCTCATACTTTTCTCCCATTGACCGGGATACGCCCCCCGGGTCATCAATGTCTGCTCGGTCGAGTTCACAATCCGCATTTGCGGGATATCAACGAGGAACTACGCCAGTTAGCGGCGGCATGCACCCTCCAGAGTCACATCGAAATACTGCTCCCGCTATGGCTCGAAACCCCAATGGTCAGACAAGTGGAAATCCATATCTGGCCAACGGTCGAGGTCGGGGACAATCGTCCGGTCCAGGTATGGGAGTACCTCGCATGCGATCCGCAAGCAGTCCCGACGTGCACCCCATGGTCCAACAGAGCCGCAAATATACTTCGGCTGAGCATGTCCCCAACGTACCCCCTATCCCTCCCCACATGGCCAAACAGATGGCCCCTCCAAGCAGGAGTCAAAGCAATTCACCTAACAATGCGCCTCCGTCACGGGGAGGTACTCCACATCAACAATTCGGGCTCCCCTCTGCGCCACGGCCCGCCATGCCAAGTCATGGTTATAGTTATGATCAGTCTTATGGGCATGATCCCCGGCGACCTGGACATGCACCGTCCCTATCACAAGGTCGGGCCTTCTCACCCCCAATATCATCGCCTTCAAGTGACGGTGAGCCGTACATTCCAAGTCAACTCAAAGCCAAGGTTTGCTTCGACGAAAATTATGTCTCGATGATCATCGCCAGCAACATTCAGTTCAGATCATTGGCAGATCGGATTGACGCAAAGCTAGCACGGTTCACAAATCATTCGATCGCCTCCGGATCAGTTCGATTGCGTTACCGTGATGAGGACGGCGATTTCATTCTTATCGACAGTGACGAAGCAGTCCATGAAGCTTTACTAGATTGGCGTGAGACGCATGCCGCAAACTCGGCAAACCCGCAAAATGCAGAGCTATTGTTGTTTGCACATGCTGTCCATGGCGAGACCGTAGTGAATGGTTGAAGCAAGAGCGGCAGTCAGGACCACGCAACGTTGGACGGATTGAGTCTTCCACAGGGATGCATTTTCCGACCCCGAGAAGTCTCTCGTGCCTGCTCACCACAAATGACCTGGGTCGTTTTGACCAAGCAGCGTCTCATTCTCATACAGGCGTCTATAAGCCCTAGCGAAGACATTGACAGAGTCGGGCGGCTGATTATATCTCTGGGACAGGGTCAGGAGTACACTGAGACGAGCTATGATGTGATGGGTTATGATGTTGGACATGGTTAAAGAACAAGGAACTGAGAGGGAGTACAGAAGAACAGCGCCACCGTAGCGAGTGGAGGATATTGAAGCCCTGTAGAGGACAAGAGGAGGCACTAGTGGATGGAAGTGAAACTACTCGATATCTCTATCGATAGGTGTTGTCAGAAATTGGCACTATATTACCAGCATCTCTTTTGTTGCCAGGAGAGGATATACGCTGAATGCTTCCGAATTGATATGTTCAACCTTTATTGATACGTACATAAAGTCCCCTCATGCTGCAACGACTTGAACGAGCTCATTGCCAGCATCTGGAAACACCTGCTTGGCTTTCCGGGAACCTCCCTGACATTTCCGTACATGTATTCTGTACAATCCCTGTAGCCTATAATGGGATAGAAAGGGCTAGCGTTCTTTTTGAGGGCGCCGATAGAGACTATGTATTATTTCAGGCACAGTACTCTGTAGATCCTATGTAGCAAGGAAGGAAGTTGGGACGGCGAGCTAGCCGTTTATGAGGCTCGTTCCCAGAGAAAGAGAGAGGGGAAACTGGTAAGCGATAAAGTGGACTATCACAACTTCTTCTCTTCAAAACGATGGTGCACGTCGACAACGTCGTCGTCGCTGCGGCCCTCAGAGGAGCCAAACTTCCTTCCCTGCGCATCGTGCTCTCTGTCCCAAGCCTCCAGCCTGTCCAGCGGAACCTTGACGAGCTTGTGCGTGACCTCGCCGCCGTCCAGGAGCACCTTCTCGTGTCTGACCCGGTAGCCTCTCCAGCGCGGCAAGACGTGCACCCAGAGCACGTAGTAGACGGCGCAGGCGACGAGGATGCCGATGCCTGTCACGACGTAGGTCGCGTACCAGAAACTGACATCCCCTCCCGTCGCGCCGCCCGTCGGCGGATACCACGGCATGATTAGCATGTACAGGTTGACGGCGATGGTGAAGACGACGGCGATGTGCCATGAGCGGAAGCGGTATGCTTTTGACGGCGGAGGCACGTTGAGGCGCCTGCGCTGGTGCCGCACAAAGTAGATCCCGACCGCCATGAGGAAGTTGAAGAACGAGGCAGGGTAGTTGGCGAGGTCGACGACGAAGTTCTAAAAAGCCATTTTCAAGCATGGGTCAGTCAGACAGTTCAGTCAATCAATGGTCGATCCCCCCTTTTTCTCCGACTTCTCTTCGAGCTCTCAGATATGTAACGGTGATGGGAGGGTGTTGTTGCTTACAAAAGCATCGCCTGCGGGTGGTGCGAGGATCATGAGCATTGTCAGCGCCCATTTGACGAAGTAAGGGCCCAGGGGAGTGCCGAAGGGTCGAGTGCTGACCCAGAAATTTGGAAATGGAAGAGTGCCTTGGCTAGACAACTAAGTCAGTAGCTGGAGCAAGCTTTATGCCTGCAGAGGAGGCCGGGCGAGGAGTGAACATACCGCCCACACTCTCTGATCAGTCTCGACTGGCCCAACAACACCGCCACCAGATTGCCAAATGCGCTCAGTGCGATCAGAAAATTGAGACCTCGGACGGCTCCGCTCGACCCAAAAACATGTTGGAAGAACAAACTGGCCGCGACCTGCGATGATTTGACCAATTCTTCCTTCGGCACCGCGGAGAAATAGGCGACATTGGCCAGCACATAGAGCGTCGCCACAATAAGGAGTGACAGGCCACCCGAATTGCGAATGGAGCGGACAGGATTCTTGACCTCATTCACGACATTGAAGGCATTCTCATAGCCTGCGTAAGAGAAGATGATCTTCACCAGGGCGTTTGTCACGCCGTACGCCGAGGCTGATGTGCCTTCAAATCCAGAGAATGCATTGCGAAAGTTGGCGTGGGGATCTGGGACACGGGAGACGTTTCCACCTAGGACGACCAGGCCGGTGATGGCAACAAAGATCAACGTTAGAAGCTTGACAAGACCAATGGCGTTTGAGACACGGTAGGACCAGCGGGTTGAGAAGGCCACAAAGAGGAAAGCCAAAGTGTATCCTGCGACGGCCACGCCTTTTAGTTCCCAGGCCGTTGGAGTGGAGCCGCTGATACGGTACAGGTACTGTGCGAGAACAATCGCATTCGAGGCGCTGAACGAGAGCAACACGGACTGAATCGCGAAGGTGATAGGGAAAAGGTATCGCGGACGTGGGAAGGCCTGTTCCAGATAAACGACTTCACTGCCTGAGCGGTTTGGAAAGTAGCTCGCGAACTCCAGGTAGACCGATAGAGAAGCCCCAGCAATGAGGAAGCCGATAAACCAGTAGATCAGAGCGAGGCCGACACTGCCTGTACCCTTGAGAATGGAAGCCGGTGTTGAGTAGACGCCAGTACCGACCATCTTCGATAGGTTGAGGAACAGAATGGTGACGTTGCCGACATGATAGCCTAGAGGTGAACGGGTCTCGACTGGCGCGCCAGATACTTCTTGGTAAGAAGGCTCGTTGCTGTTCTCACCCTTTTCGACCGCATACTTGAGGTTGCCTTCCGCGAGAAAGGTAGTGGCAGTGAGATCGTTCTGACCGGGAACAGAGGTCGGCGAGTCTACTCGCTTCCTCCACTTCAATGAGACCATGGCTCCGAGAGCTCATATATATCCTCCGACAGCTGGATTGTACATGTCTTTACTTGGCTGGGGGAGGAATTCTCTGCAGGCACTTTATATAGACGAACTCTTGCTCGAAGGTACTTGCGCAATTGCATGGCGATATGCAGAAAGCAATCAACCGCCACAGATTACCACGACAGTACAACTCATGCATGATTGTCGTGCTTTGCAAGGGGTATGGCGTCGTTTGACAACCCAATGGGTCCCTGCAGCAGTTGTCAATCTCGGCATGCATCGACATGTGCTATATCGACGTGCTCAACGTAGCAAATGGTGCAATATGCCGAAAATTGATCTCCCCACCCTCCCATAGCCGAAACTATGGACGCACATCCACACTTCTACAGGGGTAGAATGCGCCGGGTATAGAGTGCGTAGTAGGAATCCGACTCGCTAAACGGAGCGATAGGTGTGGAAATTCTCTATTCTCTCTGCCAAAGTCATCCTAGGATCGTGGCATCGTCGATTGCCATGTGCTGGAGGAATCAATGAGCGACGTTCTATTGAGCGGCCTTCAGAGATCCATTACTAGCGCTTCGCACATACGGCTCCAATGGGAAGACCTGCCTATCTGGGGTCACACCATGGTACAATTGCGCCCATTTCGATTTCAAAGCACTCGGGGTGTCCCAAGAATACTCTGGGTCCCGAAGCCAGAGGCGAACGAGGTGGCGTCTGCCAGCAGCTGTTAGCACAGGGACCTCTGGAAATCTGTCAATGAGACTTACTGCCGCTCCGGGGTGTCCCTGAAACCATCACGAGCGTGAAAAACTGCCAAGTTATTCACGTACTGGATATCACCTTGTTGGAAATCCAGGTCGACATTGAAGCGCTCTCCGAGGAAATGTACCGCATCCAGCGCTTCAGCCTGTGGTTCTGTGATTGGAGGGATTGCCGTTGAACGAGGCAGCGCTCCAAATCCCGTGAAGTATCTTCGAGCATACTGCAGTACCACACGCTCGGGGTTCTGCGCCGTGGCCGGTTGATGAAACAGGAGGGGCTTGGTTACATAGGGCTGCTCAGAATTGCCAAAGTTGTCGGCGATCCAGTCTTGTGAGAGCGTCTCGATGAGATCTGGCCTGGTTGCTGCCAATTCATTGTAGACTCGCCAAGTGCTTGCTAGTCGGCTTTTGCCCCCGTCAGCGGCTGGGCTCAGGCAAAACAATGAGACAATGTCACCACTGTCGGTGTGGAACACTTGCTTGTCAGCCGTGTAAGCGGGGGCGCCAATGCTGGTCCCTTCTTTGCTTGCGCTAAGGTCTTTGATGTGACTGAGGACTACATCTGCCGGCTCACCATTGTACCGACTGTCTTGGCGTGCCCTGAGAGGAGCAATATGCGATGAAAGGCCAGCATAAAGAATGATGTTGTCCTCCCGAGAATACCGTGTGACAGGAATACCCCTGATAACTTTGAAGCCATGGCCGAAATGCAGTTCTCGTGAGATATCACGAAGAGCAGAGTGTAGTTTCGGCAAAGGGAAAGTTGTTTCGTCAATGTAGCCGGGAGGCTTGTTCAACGCTATGTCAAGATCAGTACAAAGCCCTAGGCTCCAGGTCGACTAACATTTAAAGTGTGCAAGGGCGTGTTCTAGTTCCTCAATATGTTCGGGGGTCAGGATAAAGTTCCAATCAAAATCATTTGCAATGGAGGCTCCCTCCCACACTAATTCTGACTTCAACTGTCGTGGGAAGCCTGCAGGCAGGTTTTTGGTGGCAAGAGCCTCCTCGGTCTCAAGTCTGCGCTTTACTCGCGCTGTATACTTGTTGAAGTCAGGTGTGTACTCAATGTCAGGCTGGCGCGCCGTTGCAATCGCTGCTGCTGCCATGTCGATGTTGTGATACAAACAGTATTCAGCATCAGCATGGAAAAGGCGGGTTTATATCGACGACTTGGATGACGCAATCAAACAGATCAATGGCGTGGGCGTGGCACGGTGGAGGCCTTTTGAGGCCTTTTTGTGGATCGTGACCACTGAAGCGGGTGCAAAGAGACAAGTACCGTGCAATAGATGGAGTGCACTGGGGAGCATCCGCAGCGCTGTTGAGACCGAGGAGACCTTGGCAACACATGTCCTGACGACTCGGTATGTGATGGGTTTGTCGAGGTCCAAGGATGCTCAAGATGCTTTCGAAGGCTATTTGTTAGTGGGAAGATTGGAGTTTAAAAAAGGCCTGTCCGCTAGTCCCGAAAAAGGTTGGGCTGACGGCCTTCTTTCGACACCTTCAATTGTTGACCAAGCTCGACCGCCTTCGTCCATCACTCACTTCCGCACAGACAGACAGAGCCTGCCCTTTGTTTCTCGGAAATCAGATTTGCAGTGTGCTTGATTTCACGCGGATAGGTCTACCATTTATCGTGAGGGCACAAAACACTGACACGGCGTCCGTTCATTGACTGAGCGGTTCATTACGATCAATATTGCTGTCGATATCGCAATAGAAACGCGACCTAGATAGCAGTCTCATATACAATCCCCGTTAGATACATCAGGCCACAATGTCCACGACCACTCCTCCAGCTGCCCTCGACATGCCCTCGGCGACGCCCAAACCAACAACGCGCGGACCTCTGGACTCCTCGGCCATGAAGACGCGCATTCTCACCCACATGAACGCAGACCACCAGCTCTCCCTGCGCCTCTACCTACAACACTACTCCCACGTCCCTTCACCCGGCACTCTCTCGGCTCAAATGCTGGACATCACAACAGAGCACATGATCATCTCATCCGGCTTTGGACGTCACATCATCCAATTTGAGCCGCCGATGAAAAGCCTCATGGAAGCCAGAGAGAGACTCGTCACTATGCATGAACTGTGCCTGAAGCAATTAGATCTGTCCGATGTTGTGGTGGAGAGGTACGTGCCACCCGATCGGGCGTGGCAGTGGATGCTGTGCGGGCTTTGTGTGTTGATTTCCACAACATTCCCTTTTCGTGAGTCGCTGAGACTGGAGTCCGGGTCATGGATCTCCAAACTATGGAGTCTCGATGGGGCGGCACCTTGGTTGGCCAGACTGAGCTATACGCTAGCACCAGCAGTGCTGGGTGTGATGGTCACTGTGCACTGCGGTGAGGCAATGTGGTTTATTCAAAGGAGGTTGAGGCGGCATTGGGTTGAATGGGGGTCGGCGACGTGGTGGTGCTGGGTGCTTGACTGTCTCCTTGAAGGAGGCGGGTGTCTCACGAGGTTCGATAGGGTGGTGAAGAGGATGGAGGGGGAGAAGAAGGGAGGAAGCAAGCATTGAGGGAATGGTTCTGAGAGCACATCAGGGGACAAGACGAGACCGAGGCTGCACCTTCGGTCAAGGGCGTAGTGGATATGGTCCATCCTGGGTCGCTGCGAGGCTTTCGCCAATACATGCCTACCTAGCAAGTAGGCGCTCAAGCTGTCCACTTGTAGTTATCGGGATCGCGGAGGGAGGACGGCGGTTTTGTACGGGGTTGTTCTCGGTACCCCGCTTCTCAACCAAGCTTGATTGACGCCCGGCATATGCCGGTCGGGCCGGGAATTAGCGGCTGCTTTGTTGGTCTTGGCCTTGGCAGGTACCTTGTCCGTGATTTCCGCCCTGCATCCTCAACCTCCTTCCCTCTTCCTTCGGTCCATCCTTTCGTGTCAGCCGTCGCCACCATCGCTGCGACCTTGTCGTTATCTGCTCTTCTACCCTTCAATTCAACTTGACAATGCGTTACGACAATAACCGAGATCCCGATTCGGGAATATCTTGAATTTCAATGGCGGAATTGCCCCTGCCAGACATCATGGAAAGTAAGCACTTTGGTGTCCGGATCTCCCTGCCTTTTCCGGACTTGCTGACCCCTTTATCACAGAACCGCCCTCTTCCCACGAAGCCGAGCTCGACAGGCCCAAGAAACAGAGTATCATCCGGCATGTCGCTGCCTTCTACCGCAAGCTTGTCCAACACCCATTCTCCGAGTTCTCCTTTATTCAATGGCACTACTTCTACTTCATCGTCACCTGTCTGGTGTCCAGCCTCATATTCTGGGGCTCATCCACCCCGGCAAAGTCCGTGACGTATATTGACAGTCTATTTCTTTGCGTTTCAGCCATGACAGAGGCCGGATTAAATACGGTCAATCTCTCAACGTTGAATACTTGGCAGCAAGTCATGCTATTCCTTCTCATCATCATAGGCTCCGCAATTTTTGTCTCCTCGTCCATCCTCCACATAAGGAAACGAGCATTTGAGAAGAAATTTGCCGAACTTGCCGAACGGCGCGTAAGAAGACGGCTTCTCAGGCCTCGGACACTTACCTTTTCGTTGTCAAGAAGAGACCACGTCAACGACAGCGAGCGGGAGGCTGCCGTAGCTTCCGGCGCCGTACGTGGACGCCCCATCCTGGATCCTTCCGAGGAGGATGAACAGAAGACTTCGTCTACGTCGCGAGGACGTCAAGGAGCGGCGGGAAGCGGAGCCGGTACACGGCGAAATTCAGCAGCGAATGGGACCGTTTCTGCTATCGATAGGACCACTTCCAGCGACCCAGCCACAAACCACATCAGGTTCATAGACCAGCATCCACCTAGTGAACTTGCTGAGACCCGGTCCCGAAATGTTCGGCGCAATCCAAGTTTCTTTGAGGGAAGGGGTGTTGGTGCTCGAACACTAGACAATCATCCGCGCAACGCCCAACCTTTGGGGTTCGACTCTTCAGTGCCAGAATCGGCCATTGAGGACGAGTTCTTTCCCTCCAGTCCGCTAGCGAACAAGCTCAACAAATATCTTGACACACTCCATGGATATCTTGGAAGGAACTCGCAGTTTCATCATCTTAGTGAAAGGGAGAGGAAAATGTTGGGAGGCATTGAGTATGACGCGATCAGCCTACTTTCCTGGCTCGTGCCCACCTATTTCGTGCTATTCCAGCTGCTAGGTGCCATCGGTGTTGGCGCTTGGATTACCGCTAACCGGCCAAATATGACCCGGAGAAATGGGTAAGCGATCCGAGGACCCGAGCGGACAGAAAATGAGACTCACTTTTGACATAGCCTCGACCCTTTCTGGACCGGCGCCTTTTTTGCAATCAGCGCGTTCAACAACAGCGGCATGGCCCTCCTGGATGCCAACGCAGTCGCTTTGAACAGGAGTTACTACTGCCTTCTGACGCTTAGTCTGCTCATTCTGGCAGGGAATACTTTGTTCCCGCCTTTCCTGCGAGGCATTTTGTGGACATTCAAAAAGCTGATCCCAGAAAACTCTTCCTCACCAAACTGGCAGAGACGAAGGCGCACCATTCAATTCTGCCTTGACCATCCACGAAGAGTCTACACGAACTTGTTCCCCAGTGCGGCAACATGGTGGTTATTTGCCTCGGTCGTTGTTCTGAATGCCGTTGATTGGGTTGCGTTCGAATTACTCAATATTGGAAATCCAGTGGTTGATTCGCTCCCCCCGGGCTTTCGAATTGTGGCTGGATTATTCCAAGCGTTTGCTGTAAGGAGCGGCGGTTTTTATGTTGTCTCCATATCAGGTCTGAGATCCGGGTTGCTGGTGCTGTATGTTCTCATGATGTACCTAAGCGCCTTTCCAGTCACCATGACAATCCGGAACACGAATGTCTACGAAGAGAGATCGCTGGGCATCTTCGCAGACGAACTTCCGGTGTACGAGGAAAACAACGGTGCTGCAGGGGAGGACAAGAAAGGAGGGTTCCTGAGTGGTCTCCGGCGGACCATCACAATGACCCATGGTGGCCAACCCCGCAGCTCTTCTGCCTGGAATCGACAGGATTTTGTCCGACTCCAATTACGTTCGCAATTAGGCCATGACTTATGGTGGATCGCCCTCGCCATCTTCGCCATCACGGCCATCGAGACAGGCCAGTTTGAACGTGACCCTGTCGTTTTCTCGACGTTCAATATCATCTTCGAGGTGGTCAGTGGGTACGGCTGTGTGGGCATAAGTGTGGGCGTGCCTTGGGCTGACTACAGCTTCTGCGGCACGTGGCACCTCGCGAGCAAACTCATCCTGTGCGCAGTCATGCTTCGAGGCCGACACCGCGGACTCCCAGTCAGTATCGACCGTGCTGTCCTCCTTCCAGACGAAAGCCTTGCGTGGGCTGAGGAAGAGGATGCTCACAAGAGAACTTCGAGCTTCCATTCCCCGGGGGTAATGCTCTCGAGAACGCAGACATCCGCAATGACTTCGAGAGACGCCTTGCCGAGGGGTAGGTCGGCGAGCCTTGGTGCGCCTGGACCGAGCGTCCAAGCCGACGACAGAGCGGACAATTGAACAGGTCGCCGAACCTACTAGGGATCACTGCATCTTCGGTTCGTCTGAAATGTGCCCCGATTCGGCCGGAGCTAGAGGCTCCATCTCGTCTGAATTCGAGTGATTCGGATCTTGGGTCTGGGACTCAGACGTACCTGACATTTCTGGTACGCCGGAAAAACGCCTTTGTTTTCTTTTGTTTTTGGCTTCATTGTACTGGGCAGCACTTTGAGCAAGCGTTGGGATTTTAGAGATTGAATTCAGCTTATAGTGTTAGCGGGCAGCACGCACATACATTGAAGGCACATAGAAGGATCAGTTGCTATAGAGGCAGTTGGATACTGGGAGAATTTTTCAGAGCAGTAACCCCCTGACGGAGCAATTCTAGTTCTTCGTTGCAGCAGCCTCTGTCATCCGTGCAGTGCAGGGGAAGCTTGGGTTACCGGCCCCGAGCCATCAGTCGGATTTTGTAGCCAGGTCTGACCCCTTCTATAGATGTCGAAGTTTTCTCGATATATTCCACTTTCTGTGCCTCTGACTTGGAAAGATTTCCTCCTTCTCTGACAACTCACAGCCGCGCCCAAATCTAGATGACATTCTTCAGCTCCTGGCCGGCGAGAAAGCGTCTCAGGTTAGTGGCGATCAGGTTCTCGGCGTCCTGCGGCCTGCCGCCGGCGGCGTGCGGGCTGACGACGCAGTTGGGGGCGTGCCACAGCTTGCTGTCCTGGGGCAGGGGCTCGGTCTCGAAGACGTCAAGCGCGGCACCGCCGATGGTTTTGGTGGTGAGGGCCATGAACAGGGCGTCCTCGTCGATGGAGGTGCCGCGGCCGACATTAATCACCCAGGCGTGATTCGGCAAAAGAGCCAGCCGGTCCGCGTTGAGCGCGTGCTTGGTGCTCTCACTGCCAGGCAGGATCATCACCAGCGCGTCCGTCTCCTTCAGCAGGGTTGGTAGACTGTCTTCGCTGTACACCTCGACGCCGTCACGCACGCCGGCGCTCCGCGCGACGCCCCGAACGTTGGCGCCTAGCAGGCGCAGCATGGGCACCAGTGTCTTTGCGATGTTTCCAAAGCCCCAGACCAGGACGTTGGCGTCGCGCAGTGTCGTAAATTGCCCCTTGGGCCTGTCGGGCTGCGGCCCGCCCAGGTGCGCCGGCCACACGGGTGGATCGCGCATCTGGAAGTCGCGCATCTCGTAGAACTTGCGCGCTCCCACCAGCAAGAGGCCCAGCGTGTGCTCGGCCACGGTGCGGTCGTGCAATCCCGAGCCCGTCGTGATGGTGACTTTTGCCGGGTCGAAGCCCGCGGACAGGACGTCGTTGGGCCCCGCGGCCAGCGACTGGATCCATTTTAGAGACTTCATGTTCTGCGCCGCGTGCTTGAGGTTCGTGGGCGAGTTCGTCCACGTCACCATCATCTCGGCGTCGAGCAGGTCCGAGGGGATCTCCTTCTTCACGTCGTACGCGTGCAGCGACACCGAGAAGCCCTCCAGCTCTTGCACGTTCAAAACCAGCGACGTCGGGTAGAGGAGCTTCATCTTGTCAAAGGCTCCCGCTCGGCTTTCTTGCTCTTGCTCTTTTGAAACGGAATCCTCAATCAAGTCTCTCCCCCAACTCTCGCTCCCGGGGAATGAATATAATAATCAAGAAGAAAATAGAAGAAACCCACCCCTCACTGTGATGCTTGTTGTCCGCGGTCTTTCCCAAGTCAATTGTTTTATTTTCCTTGCTGCCTAGCTCAGGACTTTGTGGTTGGTTGTTTGGGGAGTACCTATTGTTGAGACGTCGAGAGAAAATGATCTAAATATTTGACGACGATATCGACGGCGCAGATCGGCCCTCTTGCCGCAAAGATGCGGAGTTTGGCCGATGCTTTTCAATTGCCGACAGGCCAGTAAGACTTGAAGCCCGGGAAACTTTTAGCCGGCCGGCTTTTGGGGGAGCCTTGTCTGCTCTTTCGTACATGCTCATATTTTATATCTTGGCGGCTGCTGCACCGAGGGGTACGGGAGTTTTATATCCGGCATGCTCGCGGGATGTACTCCGCCCCCCTGTAGAACAAAACGAATGAACTTCACCCTCAATCAAGACGAGATATCCGACAACTCTCGCTAGAACAGATTGGGTCACCATACATATCCCATCTTATGCCTCCCCCAAATCAATCAGACCATAGCAAAATATGGCTGCGAACCTGGTATAACACAAAAGATAGCCTTGTGCCGTATACAAGGCCATTGAAATCCATTTGAAAATCCCCATTTCTTTTGCCCGCAGATTCCATCCACATGTCGCTCCCATGTCGAACTAGTCAGATCATGGCCGTCGTCAGACAGAGATGGCCGAAGAAACTTACAAACTCTTCTCAGACCAGTTTCCCGTGCATCCCTTCACTTTTTTTGGTTCCCTTTTTGGCTCTATCCGACGCCTGTGCGGACCTCACATGACCACACATCTCCCCCCTTTCTTTCCACCGCCTCCTCCCTCCTTGACGCCCCCTGAACTAGTTGGCATGGGCGTTTGACTTCTAGGCACCTCATCGACTTTCTTCCTCTTCCCCTTTTTCTTCTTGCCCGATTCCGCTGAGGTTGGGTCTGATAACACCCGTCTATTGCCGTTTTCGATGGGACTGAACCCGCTTCCAGCCCAGACTCGCGCTTGATGGGTTGGCATTTGTTGATATAGCTGTTGCGGTCCCGATTGGGTCTGCGATGTTAGGTATGGATTTTGGTGCGGATGCGGCATAGGGGGGGCCATCTCTTGCGCGACACTATGCGATCTCGACCCCGGTTCACCTGGTCCGTACGAGGTGGATACGCTATCAATGGTGTCGAGTCTGCCCATTCGCGGTCGTTGAGCCTGAACCGCTGGCGGCGCATGGAGATTTGGCGTAGATGCAGAAATTGGGATTGAATGGCCGCTGCCCTTGGAGTTATTTCTCGTCAGTCCGTTAGGCGTATTGATCGCCTTGTTGAAGGACGGAGATCCTGGCACTCCAGCGGCACCCCATGCGCCTCGCGGTGGTGAGGAAGGCACGCCGGTACTATCCCTAACGTTGCGTGGCGCAGTATTTTGATTGATGGACCCATGGGTGGCGACTTGTGGAACCGGCTTTCGTGTGGTATAGGAGACTCGACGATTAAGGTTAGCCATTTGATCAGCTGTCGGAGGAACAATATTGTAAGACCCATTAGCCTGAATGACGGGCGGTGGTGCGGGTTGCGACGCGACCGGCTGATTAGCAGGTTCGTAAGCCTGTGACAGACGCATTTCATCAAGAGAAGTCGGGGTTGGCGGGACAGGGTGATTGAGACGAGCCTGCAGATTTGCTCCGGTCAGTGTGACAGACCCCGACGACGATGGCTTGTGCGCTGGGGCCATATCGGAAAGATTCTGCACATGCTGTGCGGTATTTAGAGGGGACGGACGTTCAGCCGTCTGTGGTCGCTGAGAGACAGGAGTGAGGTGATAAGGGGACGCTCGGCCTTCATGCGACACCGGTCTCGACGAATCTCCCGACACGGAAGGGGCGAACGGCGCATTTGCTGGATGTATCTGAGAAACCGGGCTTGCACGTTGATACTGCTCAGGTACTGGAGCATATGATGATTGATCATCCGGTGGGGCCGACGCACCATACTGACCGACAGCATGCCTCGGAGCAACATTTTCCGGCATCACATGGATTGGTTGAGGTGTCAAGTGAAGACGCTGTGTAAACTGTGAATTCATGGGATTGCCATGTCCAAAAACTGGATGCACTTGCGGAGTACGACCGTTCTCAGGAATCCCTGTCAATGGGATGGGCATTCCTCCCATCGGACGTGCTTGGACTAAAGGTGAACCCAACGTCATCCCGGGTTGAAGGTGGGGGGACCCTGTGGTATATGGCGGAGGTGGTGATTCCCAACCATCCAACTGCGGCCCGGGCGGCCGCTGATAGATGGCATTCGCAGCGTCTTGTTGCTGCGCCAGAGGTGGTCTAGGTGGATATCGTGCCGTCGAGAAACCAGCAGCTGTGGCAGATCTGTGCAGGTTCGGCGAGGCTTGTGGTGGAGGGAAGGGCGTCGAGTTGGCCAATGCAATTTGTGCGTCTACATCCAACGGCGAGGAAGCCTGGGAGACACTTCTCAAGCGTGATCCATGTGTCGCAGAGGCCGTAGTAATGGAGCGGCCGAGACCGCCTCGCAACCCTCCTCTCATCCCTCCTCTTGCGCGATCTCTGACTGTCCGCCTCCTTTCCATTGCCACCTCAATATCCATATCACCCATTTGTTCTATGAGCAACTCCGGCTCCTTTTCGCCCACTTCGATCGTCAGTTCTCGATCTGCGTCTTTCGATGGCGAATAGTCAAAATCGAGTATAGAGAGGCGTGAGCCATCCACGGGCATGGTTTCGTCTCCGAGTTCTTCCATAAATTGATCGACACCGCCAGGGGCAACGACTACCAGTCTCTTGCCTGTGAACGCGCACGGTCTATCTTCGCACCTTTCCACCCACTTGGCCGCTGTGGCGCCATCAAGTGTCTTAATCTGTTGGCATTTGACGAACAGGCTTTCTCGCCAATCAACTTTTGCAGCCAACGAGTCATCCTCAATGTCCTCGCTGCTTCCAGATATTGAAGGTGAATACGCCATCAAGGGTTCAATATGGCCTGTCGCAGAGGTGAGCGGCACCCTCCCTTGCAGACGCTGTTCGTGCCGCTCAACGACCGATCCCATATCCGGACTGGAATCTAACTTTTCGGGAACGCCGTAAATGCACAGGCCACTTCCAGCAAATCCAGCCACGACAAGAGTCCCGCAAACAGTCGCAGTGGGCGCAGTTGACGGCGCCGGCAAGCTGAATCGTCTGTTCGTCGTCGGATTTAAGAAGTAGGCGACGCCGGTTCGAGTGTCATCAGTGCGGACGGCTCGGTAGGACATGAGGGTATGATCATAAGCAAAAAGCCAGTTCGCGTCGCCTTCTGTGTGACCCTGCAACAGTTCTGCATGACTGCAAATGCTGCTAATTTGTGGGAATAGAATCTGGGTGGTCCACATGCGACTGTGAACCTCCTTTGGTGGTAAATCGTTTTCCGTGTAGAAAGGTGCAGTAATGACAACCGCTGAAGGCTCTTCCAGACTCTGAGTGCTGCCTACAAGCATCGATCCATCGCCGGAGAAGCTTAACATATCAACCCCTTCGCTTCGTACAGCTCTTCGGTCCGTAGAAAGGGCATTTGCAGCAAGCGAAAAGACTTCGACCCCGCCTTCATACGCGGCAGCCAGAACCGTACCTTCAGGAGCCAAGGCGATTGTCCTAGGCGGATTGTCCATGATCAAAACCTGTACATGCTTCACCCCTTCTGGTGTCAACTGATATACGTTCGCTTGATGTTTCGAGGACAGGACGGCTAACGTTGTGCCATCGTCAGTCACTGAAGCAGCCAAAGGTCGTCTCATTGTCTTGAGTTCATGGCGCACGGTGATAGGATCGGTGACAGCGTCGATGACGTATATTCGTGACGAACTGAGCGCGAGAATTGTTTGGCCGTTTGGTGAGAAGGAGAAGCGGAAAGCTTCTGCCCCAGGCAGGGCGGCAGAGGAACTCGCATTGACAGAGATTAGATTGACGAGAGTCTGGCGAGGTCGCAAGTATGCCTCGAACAGATTACGGCGGACCTCCGCTGCGAATTTTGTCTTGAGCCGGTACAGGTCAAATTTCCTAAACGGACCGGTGATGACAGTGTTGGACAAGGCATATGATGGACAACGAGACAGATGATGAGCATAAAGTTCTCGATTTTGGGCAGCCTTGTACCAGTTCTTGTTCAGTATGGCTAACGAGGCAAAGCTGTTGGCATCAACCGTCCATAGTATTCTAGTTCAAGTTAGCAAAACCGTCGGAGATCGGACTAACCACAGTTCTATTTATGGGTGGCGTACCTCTCCAGTACCTGGATGGGGAGTTTGTGAAAAGCAACGGCATCCCTTCTCTCATTATTTGGGACAATAGTATCTGGAGACTTGGGCCAGTTGTCGGCAGCAGCAGGGTCACTGGTTTGGGATATACCTAGGCCTCCCTCACGGCTAGGCTCATGGTCGTCCAGGTCCAGTGGCTGAGGCGGAATATCATCCTCGTGCGAGACAGTCGAACCGGTGTTGGGCGGTGGATACACAATCAGTTGCGGCGACATTGCAGACAGACCGCCGAAGAGGTGGATGGCAGTGCTACACATAAAGGCGCGAAGAAGATGACATGATGATGGTGGCCTCAATATTGCATGCCTCCATGAACGCGTCGGGTCGCGACGGGGAAGAAGGAAAGCTTCCTTCTTTTAGGTCGCCGACGGTTGGGGAGGCTGATGCGAGATGTTGATACCGGGTGTTGTCCAAGTCGTCAAGTCGTAGAGATGGCAACGAGTTGAGATCCGGTATGATGGAGGGCGGCACTATGGAGATGTGAAGGGATGTTGATATCAAAGATGATTGATGAGAAGCGAATGGGTGGTTCGGGAGAGTGTCAGGGTAGTCAGCGTGCGAAGGGAATCTCAGGGCTACCGGGTAGCTAGCAGCGAGTCTAGCCAACTAAGCTGCGAGCAGTTAGCAGCCCTAGTATTGGGAAGGCCACGCCAAACGATCACTTGCGGAGTGCCTATTATTCAGTTTACTGAGCGCGGCCTGGGTACCCTCAGTGCCTCTGACCCCCCCCTTCCCCCCCCATGGCATCCCCCTATTATTCTAGGAGCTACCTGAATTGTTTGTTAATAGACGCAGTGCCAGCACGTTTGTTAGCGAGGCCAGCTGCCAATCGCAGGTGCGCTTAGGCCTTCGGGTCTCGGTTCTAGACAGACTGACCGCCTAACGTCCCTTAAACACCATCATACACGTGCCTGGCCATTTAGGGAGAACCTCCGCATCGAGCCTAGCCTAGCAGGCCATGCGCTACCAGCATCTTTTCTTAGAAAATGTTAAACGAAGATGCATCTTCACCATCACACGACCCCCTGCACCAGCCACAATACTGCGTACAAATACCTACTACCGAGTTCGTATCCAAGTCTGACCCGAGACCTTTCTATGGAGGACGCCCCAGGCACTCATAGACACAGTTCGTCAGACTGAGCAGTGTGACCTACCCCCATTGTTGCATTCACGTCAAACACCATCTACCTCATCATCGTCTTCCCTGTTTTCTCCTCTCTTAGATAGAGTAACACTGCCCGGATCATTTACTACTTCGGGCCATTCAGCAGTTTCAGCTTGACGCTCATCGACACTGACTCTCCACCGAACATCTCATCGTCTCTGGAACTACCCACCTCGCCACCACCCGCAGCGCTCGTTAACCGTTGGGAATCTATCTCACACGCCCAAGCCTCATCCTCGAAATTTGTACGGAGTACACGATGAGAGATGATATATTCTGAATTTGGACCCCCCAGCCCCCAGTCTCATATCTCTGACACGACTGTCACGGCTGTTTCCTCGCCTCAAGTATTTCCACAATTGTTTGTACAATAATATTCTAAAACCCCCGTCAGGAGAACGCAATGGCTTGCAAATGGCAGTCTCTCTCGCTCGGTCGAGAAGGTCAATCATGCTCAATCATGCTCACTTCTGCTCTGCTTCCTCTGCTTTTTTGCCGCCCGACAGACCTGAAAACCAATTACTGGGCTTCATGCTGTTGTACGCCTCTTCTTGGAATCTCTTCTCTTCCGCCTCTCGTTCGGCTAGAAACTTTGCACCTTCCTCTTGAATTTTCTTCTCCAGTTCCATGTATTGTCTTTGACCGCGCTCCCTGATTTGATCCCAAAGCATCTTACCCTCGGACATCCCCTCATCGGAGCCGTGCGCTCCTTCAGGGCTCGACAATCCCAGCATGGACGAGAGTTTTCCCAGACTCTTTTTGGGTCGCTTCTTGCGCTTTTCTGCTTCTTCGGCCTCAAACTTGGCCCGAAGGAGTTTCTCTCTTCGGGCGAACTCAGCAGGTATATACGTTCCTTCGAATGACTTCAAGACTTCTCGTACATCGTCAAATCCCATTGTGGCCAGATATTCCAGGAACGGAATGAATTGAATCAGCGTCTGGTCTTTGGGGTCGCCGTTCCACTTGGGCAGGATGATGGCGTTTTCAGGCTGATGCTTCACATGATGAGGATCAGTGTCCATGATGAGCACTTTCTTCAGGTCTCGGTTGAGATATGAGAGGTCCTATACCATTTAGTGCCGTCCTTCATCACTGCATTTGGCAAACTCACCTTGACATAACCACCGTCTTTGTATACTGTGGCTTCGCGAAACAAGGGCCATCGAATCATGGAATAAGGATCCAACTTTCGAAGCACCTGTTCCACCACTGCCATCGGCTGACTGGTAAAGAGGACTAGTTCATAGTAGCTTGAGAGGTATCGCAGAAAGTAATCCACTCCCGGTCGCTTGGCTATCCGCCAGCCCTTCTCCCGCGTCCACTCAGAATGGACGAGCATGTCCTCCAAGCTTATAACGAGAACAAAAGGATATCGGAAGTTGGGGTCGGGGTCCTCATCTGGCAGAAGTTTCGTCGTGACGGGATCTCGGTAATAACTCAGTGTTGAAGACAGGCGAGCACTAATTCTGTTGTAGAAAGGTCTGAAGCCCCAACCTGACGGGGCATCAGGGTGTTTCTTCTCCTCCTCTTCGTTTTCCCAGTTACGCCCCAAATAGACGGAGAAGCCGACGGAGCCCAACCCCAAGATAATATACATGTATCTGAAGGCCGCGTTCTTCTTTCGGTCGCTAGAAGAGACGTATTCTTCCCGAGGGATGTCGCCACGATCTCGTCCCCGCGCTCCGCTTGGTAGCTCTTCCGAGGGGTCCTCAGTGATGTTGAGGCTCGGGGGGTGATGAGTTTGTTTCGACCTGGCAGCACGAAGCTCCGCGTCCAACGTCGACGGAATGCCCTTGGTCAGGTCGGGTAGAGGTTGCTGTGGTTGGCCCTGTGCTTCCTGCTCTTGTTCTGCAGCAACGTTTTCTGGTTGGGGTACGGCTGGCTCATCCTTCAATTCCCGCTGTTGTCCTTCTTCCCTCAAAGATCTTTTACTTGCTTGGGCTACTGATGCTGAGACATCGTCAAGATCTCGAGCGGGATCGGCACCGAAGGGCGGACGTTGGGGAGGAATCTGCTGTTTCGGAGACGAAACTGATGGACTGGTAGGTGCGGAGTCTGAGGGAGTTTCGGCGTTCGGTGCCTGAGCAGGTTGAACAAAAGGGACTTTTCGCAGGGGTTCCTTTTGATGCGGCGAGTCCTTTGATGTTCCGGGAATCTTATAATCTGCGTCCCTAGTAGGTCGATCTCCTTTGGAATAGCATCGCAACTGAATCTGCGGCAAAGCTTGCGGAACCAGAGGCCAGATGTATCGCGGCCTCAAGAGAGGCAATGCTGCACGTCTTAGCATCTCTCAATCGACATATCCCCAAAGCGAGGAAATTGGCATGAGATGTCGATGAGCTGAAAGATACTTGCAGCTACCGTGGACAGGAGAAAGCGTTTCTGGGTGGGTTGTGGAAATCTGATGATGGTTGAGTCGGCGCATTCGCCAGCGAAATAAATTCTTTCGACTCCGAATCTGCTTGCCTGGACATCGACACATCTTCTCGTCCTTGGCGTCTTCGGGCACGGTTGCCTCCACCGCGGCAACTGACTCCGCATTGCCTTTACTCCTCCTCTTCTTCTTCTTCCTCCTCCTCCTCTTTCTCTTCTCTTCTCTTCTCTTCTCTTCTCTCACAAAGAAAGTTGATTTACACCCAGAATTTTTGACTCGCCGTCCACAGACATACCATATGTTCGAGGAGTTGTATTAGCTGGGCAGAAAAAGTTCGCAACCAGAACCATCGTTCTCCTCAAGAGCGCACGAGAGGCCAGCCCATGATCTTCCAGTCGCCCCGTAAGGACGAGACATCCCTTTTCTTCCTTCACAAAATCATCACGATGAGTGTGTGAAAGTCGCCGTCTCAAGAGTGGTGAACTACACGCGTACCAACATACATCTTGTTCTTACTTCGCTACCCCCCGAATCCAACCTCCGATGCCGGTGTCATGGAAAGAAGGTCTCGTCAACGCCTTTCCGATCCCTCAAGATCGCACGAAGCTGAGATATGTTTCGAAGAAGGACAAACATAACGTGACCATATCGTCGGAGCTCGTTTCTGTTGTGGATTCGTTGGAAACAGTCTCTTTGGAAGGAGACCCTTTCCCGTTCCTCGACCTACCAGGGGAGATCCGTAACAGGATCTACCAATTGGTCTTGTTTGGCAAGCCGGGTTACCGAGTCATTCATGGTCGGATGAGACCTTCTCGCATAGGTATCATGCTTGCCAACAAGCTTACGCACCGCGAAGCCGCCTACGTACTTTACAGCACTTCGAGCTTCCGGATCTTTCCTCTCCAGGATTTTACTCCTGCGCCGGTCATACAAGAGCTCCGGCCCATGTATCGCGACATGGTGACCTCGCTGGAAATGGTGGTCGGCTCAAGCTGGACAAGTCCACCCAAGACCTGGCGCGTAGGTAAACTACTGGCAAAGCGCCTGTCCAAGCTCTCCGCGGTGAACACTCTGAAGATTTTCGTCGAGCTTGATCCAAGCCTGCCGATGTTTGAGAAATATCGCGTCTCCCTGGACTTCTATACTGATTTCTGCGGAGACCTGTTACGAGATGTCCTCGCGTGTATGCCGCATCTGAGCCATATTGAAATGAATGGGAACCCGGGCATTGACACTACTGGGCCACTAGTTTCGAGGTTGCTCAAGGAAGTAGAGGCAAAGGGAAAAACATGTACTTTAGGACCAACGAAGGCGATAGCCACTCCGACTGGGGTGAAACTGGCATTTTGGTAACGGAGAACAAGATTAATACAGTACCTACGTGACAGTTCTTGCGGATCTTTCGGGCACCATTGTGTCTGGTTCATTCGAAAGACCACTTATGAACCTCTTGGTTCTTTCTGTAGCCCAACGCCGTGCATGCATGTCCTGATGGATAGATACAAGTTACAAGCCGCGCCTGCCCTAATGCCCATCTCTGCTCACAGTTCCTCATCCACTTCCATGTCTCCATTCTGCTCCATCCTGTCCCGATGAGTGCCGTTTGTGCCGTTCCCGTTTGCTTGCACAGCCTTCTTCGCCACACTTGCCTCTTTGTCGATCATTTGCCTGCTCACGGCGACAATGTTATCTTCAATCAGCCTCTGCCCGACATCTTCGATGTGTTTCTTCGGATCCACTTTTCCCACGTATCTCGTCTTCAGTTGTTCCGCAGTTAATTCGTTCTCCTCCCGCACGCGTTTCTCGTACCCTTCTGCGAGTTGGACGAGTTGTTGAAGGCCCTCTTCGTTTCTCTTGCGTTCTAAGCCAAAACTAGAGGGCAGTTCGAGGCCTTCAGTCCAGACTTCCTTGTGGAGGTTCATGAGCATGTTCTCTTCCAAGCCAGTCTTGCGGTATTGGATTCCGATGCTGTAGTAATGTCTATTCAAGCCGTGGATCAGCGCTTGTATGGAGGGTTTGTTCAGATGACCTAAATTCGAGGTGGTTTGCCGGGGCTCTTGGCCCATCATGATGGCTTGGGGGTTAATAAGCCGGAATGCGTCGATGACAACTTTGCCCTTGACGGATTGGATGGGGTCGATGACAACAGCCACGGCGCGGGGCGTCAGTTGTTCGAATGATTGTTGCGTGTTGATATCGACTGAGGACAGCCAGCATCCGAACCCTGGGTGGGAATGGTACCAACCCACCACCACCTCGGGCCGACCTGTCTGGCGTAGCATATCCATCATCTTTGTTTGAAAGACCGGGTCGACGGACTCGACAGTGACCGAAGTTCCTGACTGCGGCATCGCAAAGACGTCGACAACTCGGACAGTAAAGTCATCCACGAACTCGCCGAGCATTAGTCCCATTACTTCCATTGGAACACCTGCCCTGCCGTGGCGGAGCATCTTTAGGAGGGCGAGGGAGGAAATGTAGACGGTCTCGGAGTTGTCGACCAAGTTTGTGTCCTGTCCAGTCTGGGTGCCGCCCATGTGTGCGGCGGCGAGCATTCGATTAAAGCGGTCCATAATGACGGGTGGGCCGAGTAGATGTGAAGGCGGAGAGAATAGAAACGTAAAAGGGAGGGAGGAGGGAAGATGTCGAGACTGATAATTCCGATCGAAGTCAATCTGTGGCGGCAGTTTACACCAGCGGGAATCCGAACAGTAGAGAAGCCTGAATCGAGATGGTAGAGGTTCTCCGGGTCGCTGGAATCAATGTGAATTATGACACTCTCCAGAGGGAGATCAACACAGTGGTACGATGCCGCCGTCTCTTGTTTCTTTTCAAGCGAAAATGTGAAGCTGCAAGGCAAGCACGAACTGCGCGTTCACAGTTCATATTCAGATCCCAAAGCGGTTAGCCCGTCCTGCTCGCTCAGCCCGGTTGGCCCGTTGCGCCTCCGCAAATCGTTGGAGACGGAATCATGTCGATGGGCCCGTTTCTGCCCTTTCTGCGCTTTGCCTCGCGCATATGGAATAATTCACCTCCCGCCGATCTTCCTCCTGCTGGCCATTTGCACCTTTCATTCACTTTCCTCGAAAAGTTCGTTTCTCTTGGGCCAAGTGTCCATGTTCAAGGATATCCTTGCGCCTTCTCCGTCTCAAATCTTCCCCTCACTAGACGACTATTCCAGCCTCCTTGCGCCTTTCCCCCACCGATTGACAAGCTCCGTCGAAGCAAGGGGACGGAGGGAGTGGAGCAAGATACTGTGAGGACCTGAAAGGCGCACAATTCTATCCGCGACCCGAATAGTCATTCTTCCTGTTCAATCTATCGCCCTTCCTCTGTTGGCCCGACGGCTCGACAGCCTTTACGCCCAACATGGCATTCGCACCTGTTGACGTTCCGTCATCCTACAAGCGCGAGGACAAGAAAAGAGTTGCATACTTTTACGACTCAGATGTGGGCAACTATGCCTATGTGTCAGGTCATCCCATGAAGCCTCACAGAATACGGCTCGCCCACTCCCTGGTAATGAATTATGGCCTGTACAAGAAGATGGAAATCTATCGCGCAAAGCCCGCCTCCAAGTACGAGATGACCCAGTTCCACACCGACGAGTACATCGATTTCCTTGCAAAAGTCACGCCCGACAACATGGACTCATACCAAAAAGAGCAGCAAAAATATAATGTCGGCGATGATTGTCCTGTCTTTGACGGACTCTTCGAGTTCTGCGGAATCAGCGCAGGTGGTTCCATGGAGGGCGCTGCTAGATTAAACCGTCAGAAAGCAGATATTGCCATCAATTGGGCGGGCGGGCTGCATCACGCGAAGAAATCAGAAGCCAGTGGATTTTGTTATGTCAACGACATCGTTCTCGGCATCATCGAGCTTCTGAGATTCCACAAAAGAGTCCTCTACATCGACACTGATGTCCACCACGGTGACGGTGTCGAAGAAGCCTTCTATACCACTGACAGGGTCATGACTGTGTCTTTCCACAAATATGGAGAATATTTCCCCGGTACCGGCGAACTTAGAGACATCGGCGTGGGCTCGGGCAAATACTATGCCGTCAATTTCCCTCTCCGAGATGGTATAGACGATACATCCTACAAGGGCATTTTCGAGCCCGTTATTCGAGCCACCATGGATTACTATCAACCCTCGGCCGTGGTCCTGCAATGTGGGGGCGATTCTCTCTCCGGTGATCGTCTGGGCTGCTTCAATCTCAGCATGAGAGGTCATGCAAATTGCGTTAGATTTGTCAAGTCCTTCAATCTTCCTACTCTCATCCTTGGGGGCGGTGGTTACACCATGCGTAACGTTGCAAGAACATGGGCATACGAGACTGGGGTTCTGGTTGGCGAGTACATGCAACCAAATCTTCCGTACAACGACTACTATGAGGTCAGCTGTTCTTCGTCGTTTCCCAGGCATTGCTGACCCTTTCTATAGTATTACGCTCCCGATTATGAATTGGATGTCCGTCCTTCAAACATGGAAAATGCAAATTCGAGAGAATATCTCGAGAAAATCCTTGGTCAAGTGCTGGAGAATATGAAGAGGACGGCCCACGCCCCATCAGTGCAAATGACGGATGTACCCAGAGAGTCCCTAGGCATGAATGACGAAGACGAAGCTGCCCTCGACGATCTTGACGAAGACCAAAACCCGGATACACGCATCACTCAGCGCAAGGCAGACAAGTACATACAGAAGAACGGTGAACTCTCTGACAGCGAAGACGAAGAAATGGAAGAAGTGAATGGTCGCCCATCAGCCGCCCGAAAACGACGTATCATGCAGAATTACCGGCATATCATGGATGTAGGCGGCAATGACTCCGGTGTGGAAACGGAAAGTGGGACAGGAACACCACAGCAAGTGTCTAGTCTACCCGACGAAGCGGCAGATGAGATGAATGTGGACGAGGAGCTGGACGACAAGATCGGCCACCAGACACCGAGTCCTCCCAGCGGTGAACAGCGGGTAAACGGCTCTGCTGCCGTTTCAGGTCTCCAATCGCCCGATCATCACGCATCAGCTGAAACTGCTGATGGTGACGTGGAGATGGGGGATGCAGATATGCCGGACGGAGATGCTGCGCCTGCGGATGAAGCTGAAGCTGCCCGACTCACCGAAGCAGAACCAACCACAATAGTCCAACAGCAGCGTACTCCTCCGGATTCGCCACCCACGCCGGAGGCCGAGGAACCCTCGCCCACTCTTCCCAGTGCTGTGGTTCCAGGAACGGCGATGACCGACGCTGAAGATTCAAGCATAGTGACCGTTCCGACTATCGCCGCGGTGCCCACAAAACCCGACGCCACTGGGGTCACGGCCTCGGAAGTGGCTATCAAGGAAGAAGCCGTGGGTGATGACGAAGTCGCAAAGGCGCAGGAAGAAGGGCGCATAGAGAGGGAAATGGCGAACACGGCAGGGGAAGCCCGGACAGAAGCGGTGGCAAAGGTTGAGTCAGACAAGGCAGCCGAGGGCCAACATCAAGAGATCGAGACCACTGCGGAGACAGCAGCTGATTCACCACAAGGATCTTAGGAAGGATCTTGGAGTTTTGAGCTGCTTCTGCGACAACATTGAGGGGGTCCTTTCATCATGGTTGAATCGGGAGGATGTACACACAGAAGGAAGAAGTGAGGGTTTCGAAGCAAGGCGTGTAGGTGGGCATGGTCGGCGCTTCAATGAGGATAGGAGTGTGCAACGACGATTGGGGCTACGCTCGAGGGAAAAGGCTAGTGGCGTAGCATATGGGACAGGAAGAAGCTGGGCTGAACTGGTCGGAATCGATACGCGACGGGGTCTGGGGGCAACTGTCTTATTATTATTTCAAACCCGGATATGCATTGATAGCTTTCCCACGAGTTCAGATTTGTTTGCCTGGTATCTTTGGAAGCATCGGTGCAAGGGGTAATTTTGCCCACATGAGAAAGGAGTCCTCTGCGCTTTCCCCAGTTCTCACCTGCGTCTCATTATTAGAGAGCTCGATTACTGTGTCGCCACTCTCAAGACGACCTTCCCTCCGCCCTTTCGTCCCCTGGCTTCGGCAAACTCCATGGCCTCTCTGCCGTTCTCCAGTCCAAACGCCTGCTGCTGGTGGACGTGTCCCTTCAATTTGCCGGCCGTGACCCACCGCGCAAGGACGTCCAATTCCTCGCCCGATGGTTTCACGACGAAGAATTCGACTTCCTCCACGCCGGCTCTGGCGCAGTTCTGGTGGATCTGCGCGGCGGTTTCGGCGCCGTAGACCTTTATCGGCGCGACGATTGTGATCACGCGGCCGCCTGGGTTTATGATAGTGTTGAGTGCCGGTGTGTCGGTGAGGAGGAGCGTGGAGAGTGTGCTCCCTCCGATGCAGTCGACTACCACATCCACGGGTGGTAGGCTTCGAGAGGCGAAGGAGGACGGCAAAGAGGTGTATGCTTCGGAGGTGTAGTCGATGATAGTGTCTGTGGACACGTCAATGAGGGGTGTTATCAGAGGTGCAGACGCTGAGCTGCATGTTGCGATCACGGAAAATCCAGATGCTTTGGCGAGCTGGAGCGTTGGAAGGCCGACGGAGCCTGCCGAGCCGAGAATGAGCACCCTTTTACGCGGCGCCGACGACGACAACGGGAGCGGTGAGTCCGTCGATGGTAGGGGTAATCTGCCGTGTGTGTAAAGTGCTTGGTATGCTGTCAGTGCTGAGAGCGGGAGAGTCGCCATTTGTTCCACCCAGGCCTCCTCCGAAATGGCAGAGCTATCTGGGTTGCTCGGCGCAAGGCTGAGCTCCTTTTCAAGGGCAAGCGTATACGTTGCTGCTGCACCGTCACGGTCAAAGTCGAGAAGAGCCCAGACTCTGTCCCCGGGTGAGAACTTTGGTTCTGATTGGGCATTTGGGGATATGAGAACTCGATCCACAATGCCAACTACATCGTGGCCTGGGATTGCACCACCATATGGTTGAAAGCGCGACGGCTCGAGGATTTCTTGCCAGGTAAGTTCGCCTCGAGTTAAAGCGGTGGTCAGGACGCGGATCAAGTAGACGTGTTGCGATGGGGTTGAGGAATCGGGGCCGTGGACAGGGGGTTCGGGATAGTCTGCTGCTGTGTATTGAAGGTCTGATGGGCAGGCTGGATTGTCTGGGAAGCGGAAGGGTGGCTCTGCCCCATAGAGGACACCGGGAAGGTGAAGGGAACGCATTGCAATGGAGTAGACGAGTTGGTAGAGCGAAATGACAATGAGATGAACTTGGGACTAGGTTATTCCCCTTTCTCTTCCTTGATATGCCTTCCAGCTCCTGTGGTGGCCGCCCTCGGAGATGATCAAGACCGCGGAAGAGAACCGTTAGTCATCGGGGATGAATGATCAAGGAGTGTCTTCTTGAATTATCTATCACTCGCCAACCATGCTGCAGATGGCAGTTCGTCCCACGTAGAGGAGAGTGCGTGCTTTACGTTCCGTGCAAAGGGCGCATTCTGAGATTCCAGCAGGGACCTGATTTGGTGGAGATGATCTGAGGACGATGAAAGACTCGGGGGTATGGAGCACATGTTAGCCAAGTTATTAGTGGCAAGAAAAGGAAAGAAAAGTGGCTGCGCTGTGCTTGAAATTTGGCCCATCTGGCCCCAATCACCAGTTGTTGTTCAAGTCGTGTAATGCTCGGGACGGAGGACCTTGCACTTGGCTTTGCTGGTGCTACTCCGTATCAACCGTTCGTGTTAACATGGCGCAGCTTCACGTTTATTAGCCACGCAACGACCTTCTTCTTCCCCCATTGCCGGAGCTCTGTATTCCTGTTTTATTTCTTTCTTCCTGCATTTGGCCGTCTTCCATCGGCTCTCACGGTTCTGTTGTGGCCTGCGGGACAACTTTCTCCCTACCGACTCCGGCCTCCCTTCAAGTTCATCTCCACACGTCCGCCTATTGTTTTCTGCTTATCGTGGCCCATTGCACCAGGTTGACGCAGCCTATGTTGACCCGTCAACTCGACCTTGCACGACCTGAAAAGACTCCCTCAGCCTTCTCCGCATTATATTAACGCTCGTCCATCCCATCCGCTTTCGCTGAGCCCGGCCGCAATCTGCTTGTTCGGATCCCCAGGGATCAAAGTGGAGCGCCAACATGCCTCTCTCCGAGTACTTTACGAGTCCTACATCCCTCTATAATCGACAGTTCCTCGGCAAGCTAGTCGCTCGAGACCAGATGCCCTTCGCCGACGATGCATTGCAGGTCCTCAAAAAGACCGCTCCTCATTCGGGCCACCCGAACTTCGCGCACCTCACCCTTCTCGTTTTCGAAGCTGTGTTGGAAGTGGTCTGTGTCAGTCTACCAGGATATATAGTGGCAAGGCAGGGCATGTTCGACGCCGAGGGGCAGAAGTTGATGGCCAATCTGAATGTCATGCTGTTTACGCCATGCCTTATCTTCACAAAGCTAGCGTCACAGCTCACAGCAGAGAAGTTGGCTGATTTGGCCATCATCCCGGCCATCTTCGTCGTCCAAACCTTGGTTTCGTTCCTATGCGCTTGGGCCATTGGGAAGGTGATGAAATTTAAAAAGAGACAAGCCAATTTCGTGATTGCCATGGGCGTGTTCGGCAACTCTAATTCTTTGCCCATTTCGCTCGTCCTATCTTTGTCCAAAACGCTCAAGGGGCTGCATTGGGATAAAGTCCCTAATGACAATGATGAAGAGGTTGGAGCTCGAGGGATCCTCTACCTGCTCATCTTCCAGCAATTGGGCCAGCTACTGCGCTGGAGTTGGGGCTACAATGTCCTGCTCGCTCCACCAGACAGCTACACGGAAGCAGAAGGCGGGACCAAGAAGGAAGATCGCATTGAACGAGGGCGAGGAGAGTTTCGCGAGTACACAGATGAGGATGCCGGAAATCGTCGGCTGCTCAGCCCCAGCTATGATGGGATTCGAGATACCAGCGAGGACTTTGAGGAATACCAGGAGGACGAGGACGAGGACGACGATGTGACTCGAATAGGAACCGAGTCACCGACGACAGCAAAGTCCGACGGTCTCAAAACCCCGCGCACTCCACACAACAGGTCCTCGAGGACTTCCCCCAATAGACAACTGAACGGCTCCGCCCATGATACAACTGATCTCATACATACTTCTCCCAATGAGATGATGGGGCCTCATCACCATGTCGACTACCCTGCGTGGCTGAAATATCCGGAAAACAAAAAGTACGATGAGAATTGCGGAGGCATCAGAGGGTACATCAATCGTGGAAGAAACGCGGCCCGATACCAATTTTTGAGGATTGGGCATTTTATTCGGACAAGGTCGAGGCGGACCTTTGACTCACTTCCTAAGCCAGTGCAGAGAGCCATGTCCTACACCGGGGCAAAGATCGCCGCCTTTCTGGCTGGTGTGTGGGAGTTTATGAATCCGCCGCTGTGGTCCATGTTGGTTGCCATCATTGTGGCATCTGTGCCCTACCTGCAACATCTCTTCTTCGATAAGGGGACGTTCCTGGCAAATTCGGCCACGCGAGCGGTACAACAGAGCGGTGCCGTCGCGGTCCCACTGATTCTGGTGGTGCTTGGAGGGAACCTTGCCCGAAATACCATACCCAAAAATCAACCAGGTGATATCACGGACCCAAAAGAAGAGAATAGGCTGCTCTATGCATCATTGCTGGCGCGGATGGTGTTCCCGACAATTGTGATGGCGCCCTTCCTGGCGTTGGTCGCCAAATACGTCCCTGTCAGCATCGTTGATGACAAGATTTTCATCGTGGTCGCTTTCCTCCTTACCGGGGCACCGTCAGCGCTCCAGCTGAGCGCCATCACACAGACAAACAATGTCTATCCAAAGGTTATGTCGAACATCCTCTTTCAGAGCTACGTGGTTTGGATCCTCCCATCGACACTAATACTGGTTCTTTTGGCCCTGGAAACGGTGGAATGGGCAACGAATTGAAGTTCTGCAATGGCCATTGGGAAGTGTGTTGTGCGGGCGTGATTTGTCGATATCGGGTTGACTTGGGCACGGAGTCATGGAAATGGGTGCTTGTAGGTCGATTGGGCCGTCGTGGCAGCATTGTACTGATACAGCTTGGACGGACGGGTATGGGGATATGGACAGACAAACAACAGATAGGGCCAAAAAGAGACGACGATCAATATCTTCATGTACAATGACTTCATCCTATGCCATAATAGAGGATGGACAACTGACTGTTGGTGGGGGGTGGAGGCGAAGGGGTCTCTGGGCTATTATGTCACTGTGGCTTGTTAACGAGTTGTCATTTGTATTGCGCGGTGTCAATCTTGAATCACGAATAGGTCATGATCCATTAAGTCCATCTTGGCCCATCTTCGTTGGACATCCGCTGAAGCCTCATACGTATCCACTGATGTAGAATGACGTCGGCCGTGAGTGTCTCCTGGGGGGCCAGCAGGGGATTTGGGGGTGCGACGGAAGGGACTACCTGTAGGGGTCCTGGTTTAAAGCCGCGCTTCCCCGGGATACCGAATATGAGGTTTCATTGAAATGCCATACCGCCACACCACCATACCAAGCCCTTCTCTCCCGTTCTTTCTACCAGGTGCCTTGCCTGCCTTAAAGTTAGTTGACCTGCAGCTGCCCAGCGGTAAACAACCCCCGGAAGCTCCCCTACAATAAGTATGTCCGTACCTCTACCTACATGTAGATAATACCCAAGTAGAAAAACCCCCCTCTCCCTCGAGAAGTGATGGGTGCTATACTCGGTTCTATATGGACTAGCTAATGCACCGCAAGCCTCACTCATTTTGCTAAGCCTCACCCGTTTTGTTGTCCTCATGTACCCGCTCGTGTTGTATGGAGCATCGTAGAAACTGATCGACACGTTTGATAGCCACTATGAGCCTGGTCGGTTTTCTATCTTTTGCTTCCCTATCAAGTTCCATCATAATTTCACCTTAAAATACTCCAGACTCGTAGCACATGCCCACACTGCAGTGAGGGTTCGAAAAGTTCCAACCTCAGCTCAGTCTTCAGTCTTCTATCCTCAGTCCTCAGCGCTCGGTGCTAGTGCGCGGTCTTGCCTGAGCCTTAGCCGCTTCCTCCGCTTGCCTTTCCCTCGCCTTGCCGCGCCTCGCCTCCCTATTTGACCTTTATCCTCCCCCCCGGCACGCCAAACAACGCCGTGGTTGCTCAGCAGATCCAGGATCTTGCTTTCCGGGCGAATGAGACGTCGACAGACAGGAACAGCTTCCAACAATTCATTGCGACGACTTCCCCACCACCAACTCACACTCTCGTCTTCATCTCGCCTCTTCCTCTAACCGTCCTCACCACTGCACCCCCCCGTTACTCACTCCTCCCTAATCAAGTGTATAGACCTTGTCTATTGTCACAACCGTTTCACGTCGCATGCCGCCTTGACGAAGCCCCATATCCCACGCGCGACTGCGTGCGCACCGCAGCCACATATCTGCATCCACATCAACCAAGTACGGAACCCATCGCCTTCTTAGTCACCATGGACGACTCATCATCCCAGCAGCCGTCCTCTCCCGAAGCCTCAAATTCTCCTGAACAACCACCTTCAGATTCTACCTCGACCTCCATGGCTTCACGTACAGGCCCTGCGCCACAATCTCCCTCCAGACCTCCCTCGCTGGGCTCGGCAGGAAACAGCATGGCACCCTCAATGAACCCCTCCTCCGCCCCGCTGGGCCCTACCAACGCAGCCAGAAGACCGGGTCCGCTGCCCTCACGTGCAAGCGGGTTGAATTCTGATATTCAGGCAAAGATGAAGGCGTTCTCCTTATCTCGGCAGGGTGCGCCTCCCGCAAAAGCACAAGCAGGCGCGTTTACCGGTCAACAACATGGTGCTTTCGTCGGTGGCGCTCTTGCAGGAGCTCCCCCATCTTCTCCCAACTCTTCTGCTGCCAACCTGCGACTCCCCCCTGGTATGCAACGGCCGAATGCGCCGACGTTCGGCTCCTCGCCTTCTCCGATCACGGGCAGTCCTCGAATGATGAATCCTCACCCTCCCATGGGCGGGCTAGCAGCGAAACGAGGTCTGAAGCCAGGTGGCATGAAATTGTCAGATGCGCATAAGCCTGCCCCTGCTGGTCAGGAGGAGGGGGACAAGACAGACACCGGATCTCAGTTTAACAAGTATTCGAACATCATTGATACGAAGAAAGGCACTTTGAATTTCCAAAACAAGGCGGTTATCCACGGAAGTGGTATTGATTTTGCTGGCGGTAGTACCTTTTCAATTTCTCTGGATGAGGTCGACACCCTATCAGAGTTGGGTAAGGGCAACTATGGCACCGTTTTCAAAGTGAGGCACGCTCGACCCAAGATGAGGCGCCCGGGTTTGGGGTTGCGAGGCAATATGGTTCGGCATTCGTCAGCCTCAATCCCCAAGGTTGATGACGAGACAGACTCGCAATTGGACACGAAAGGGACAAGCGGGCTTGTCATGGCCATGAAAGAGATCCGCCTCGAGCTAGAGGACTCGAAGTTTGCTGCCATCATTATGGAATTGGACATTCTACACCGATGTGTATCGCCTTTCATTATCGATTTCTACGGCGCATTTTTCCAAGAAGGTTCGGTTTATATCTGCATTGAATACATGGACGGCGGCTCGGTGGACAAGTTGTATGGAGACGGAGTCCCCGAAGAAGTGCTCAAGAAAATCACATTGTCCACGGTCATGGGGCTCAAATGTTTAAAGGATGAACACAATATCATCCATCGCGATGTCAAACCAACCAATATTCTGGTAAACACGCGTGGTCAAGTCAAGATCTGCGATTTCGGCGTCAGTGGCAATCTAGTGGCTTCAATAGCCAAAACGAACATTGGGTGCCAGAGCTATATGGCGCCAGAACGCATTTCAGGAGGTGGTATGGCCCAAGTTGGTGCTGGCGGCGGCACCTATAGCGTTCAATCCGACATTTGGTCGCTCGGTCTCACCATCATCGAATGTGCACTGGGCCGATACCCCTATCCCCCTGAAACTTACGATAACATATTCAGCCAGCTTAGTGTAAGTTCTTACGTACCTTTCGATTCAAGGCAGTTGCTAATTAGACTCCCCCTTGATAGGCCATTGTGGATGGTGATCCTCCAGATCTTCCGGCTGATCAATTCTCAGAGGCGGCCATTGATTTTGTCCGAGGATGCCTGAATAAAATTCCCAGGCTCAGACCAACCTACGCCATGCTACTTCGACATGCTTGGCTTGCACCACTTCTGAAGCCACCCACGATTTCCGAGGACGAGGAGGGTGAGCAGGCGGCCGAGGCCGGCATTGAATCAGCCTTCTCAAATGGTGCGGCCCCAGACACTGCCGACAGGGATGTAGCAGAATGGGTGAAGAGCGCACTTGAGAAGAAGCAAGCGGGCAAGTTGGCGTCGCATAAGAAGCCTGCGCTCCATGAAGCGCCGCTAGACGCAGTCCCCGGTAGTCCTCTGGTTGCCCCCGACGGGACCACGCCACTGGCCGGGGATCCCATGGTAACTGATATCAAGGCAAACCTTGGAGTCAAGGTAGATTCACCGGACTTGTTGGCGGCAAAAGTGCAGGGCCTAGATTTTGCTTCATAATCACGCAAGTGTTTGTAGGATGGCAATGGTTTATGACCCAGGTTAGGACCGAAGAAAGTGTAACGATAGCGATGAATGATGAAAATGCATCACTCCCATAGAGAGGCCAAAATACAGAGATACGGAAAGAACTTCCAGTTTTACCTCCCTGCTATACTCGAGTCTACTTTGGCGGTCTATCGCTGGGCTGACACCCACATCAAACCTTGATTGCGTAGAGTCGAACAGGCTTATCGAGACACTCTTCTCTGTCGCATATACAAAACTTATTTGACGTGTGCTTGTGTGACGCCCAATGATGTCAGTGGTTTCCGGCCATTTGCGCGACGCCATGAATTTCTGACATTTCCCTCAACAAGTTCAGACACCCTCAAAGACCACCGACAGCCATCCAAGTATTCAGACTCCAGATAAGCCTGCCCATGGGCCAAGGCTTGATATGCTGCACAGAAGCACCTACGCTCTCGTTAAGCAAAAATGGGCCTTGTCCGCAGACTGCTGATCTGGGCAGCCGTTGATGGCGTCGTCCTTCAAGCTCATGGCTCTACGGAGGCCCCCAAGGCAATCCAGATCGACTACAAGAGCCGTCGGATAAGGGAACTTCAGAAGTCCGATGCATCAGCGAAGAGAACCGCTCCCTTGGAAGCTCACGGCATCGTCGGTAAGGACTCACTCACTGCTCGACAGAGCCCGAGTCGCTCAGACCATTGACAGGATTGCTTTCAATTGCCTCGTCTTCTTTCCTTGTCGCGATCACCCAGCGAGAGCAAGTTGCCCAGATATTTGGAAAACCGATTTATGTCATTACCGACGTTGCCATTCTCCCCCTGTCTTCCCAAGATGAAGCCACTCTAGCCATCACAGCCGCCCTAGAGTCTCAGACGTTAGACTCGTCCTCAACTGACACTGATACCGACGTGACCGATATAGAGGACAACAACACCAATCCACAGGAGCAGGAAGAGCCCGAGACTCCTGTGGAACATGAGCTTCCTGGACAACAGATCTCCAATCCCACCAGTATCGCCAGAGATGTCATTGCTAAGCGAGGCCAATATGGACGATTTGCTGCCCAATGGTTCTCCAGGCAGGGTTGGGGTGGAGGCAAGACCCCAGACACCACATCTGGGACTTCGACAAAGAGTGAAACCTTGAAAACGGCGTCCAGCTCGACGGCCGAATCAGACGCGGTAGTAGCAGCAAATCAACTCGAAGCCAGCGACGACAATGAAGCACAAGAAGAAAAGCATAGTAAGGATGCCGAGCAGCTCCTGAGCGACACCTCCATCACCGAGGCGACTTCCAAAATTCTTAGGAGGACCAAGATGATCTTGACCTCTCGCAGCTATTTCTTCTCGTACGAATTCGATCTGACCCGTAGGCTAGCTGTTATGGGTGGGAGCGCAACTCCTCCTTCACGAGATACCCTTGACCCTATGGTAAGTGTATACCGATCACCGCTCAGAATCGATACTGTCCTAATTGAATCAGTATTTTTGGAACCGACGATTACTAGGCCCATTCATGGACGCAAGACAAGATTCGTTCATGACGCCCATATTGCAAGGGTTTGTAGGTCAGAGAATCTTTACAGTTACGAAAGCAGGGCCCGAGAATCCTCAGTCCGCCTGTGTGGTAGACGCCGAGCATGGTGAGCAGTCAGCAGGGGTACAACACGCCATAAACCATGCCAAACAGGGCCTTGCCAGCATCAGTAATGACATGCAGTCCTATCTGCTAACACTGATCTCACGACGATCGGTTAAGCGGTCGGGCCTTCGATATCTTCGCCGCGGCCTCGACGATGAAGGCAACTGTGCCAACGCGGTCGAGACCGAGCAGATCCTGTCAGCTCCAGATTGGTCTCCTTCTCGGCGAATCCGGTCATTTGTACAGATACGTGCCTCTATACCTCTCTACTTCTCACAGTCGCCCTACTCGCTGAAGCCGACACCGATGCTCCATCAGTCACCATCCAAGAATGATGCAGCGATGAAGAAACATTTTCAGGATCTCAGGCGACGATATGGCGGTGTCCAAGTTGTCTGCTTGGTGGACAAACATGGCCCGGAAGTTATCATCGGCGATGCTTTCGAGAAAAAGGTCCATTCCTTGCAGGAATCTAATCAGCTTGAAGATGTCTTGTATGAATGGTTCGATTTCCATGCCGAGTGCCGTGGAATGAAGTTCGAGAACGTGTCCAGGCTTGTTGACAAGCTCGAAAACACTATCAAGAGATACGGCGAGACTGTGATCTCGAAGGATGGGATGGAGACAAGCCAATCAGGAGTAATTCGAACCAACTGCATGGATTGCTTAGACCGCACCAACGTTGCTCAGAGTGCTTTCGGACAGTACATGCTGCAAAGAGACTTGGGCAGAGAAGGGTTCGAGATCGATCTGCTGCACGACGACAGCACAACCTGGTTCAATACCCTATGGGCTGATAATGGAGACGCCATATCGCGGCAGTATGCATCCACAGCAGCGCTGAAAGGAGACTTTACAAGGACCCGTCGACGGAACTACCGTGGAGCATTGAATGATTTCAGCCTGACCTTGACTCGGTTTTACAACAATATGGTCAATGACTATTTCTCCCAGGCGGTCATTGACTTCCTCCTCGGCAACGTGTCATGGAGAGTGTTTGAAGACTTCGAGAGCAGCATGATGAGCAAAGATCCAGGAATATCAATTGATCAAGCTCGACAAGCGGCGATCGAGAGTTGTGCTAAACAAGTAATACAGGAGCAGGACGAAGACCTCATTCACGGCTGGACAATGTTAGCGCCGGCACACGAGAACACCTTGCGAACCATGCCGTTCGAAGAAGCGGTTGTACTTTTGACAGATGCGGCTCTCTACTGCTGCAGGTTCGACTGGACCACGGAAAAACTTGCCTCTTTTGAGAAAGTTGACCTGCGATCTATATCGAAAATCCGGTATGGAACATATATCACATCAACGTTCAGCGAACGACAGATGAAGGAAGAGCTCAATGCCGGGCTTGTAGTGATATATCAACCTGGAAAAGGAAGCACTATTCGAACAAACACGAGATCCTTACAAAACTATGTTGCACCCAAAACAGACGAATCCGAGAATCGAATCGACGGAGGAACCGGGATCCTGTCGTGGCTTAGTCCCGCTTCAGCTGCACCATCGAGAAAGTTAGCCATGAAGGTAATCCCAGCAGCGACGACAGATTCGGATGGTGTTGCGGGGCATGAGGAACAGGCACCATTGGCAGTCGCTGAGAATATTGCAGATGAAATTCGACGAGCGCTCACGGGGAGCACAGAACATGGTGAGCTGCAAGGCACTGACCTTGTAGAGCAGTCGGCCATTATCTCGTTGGAGGAAGCGAAGAAACGGGTTGGGTATCTCGAGCAGTTGGGTCATTCCATCAAGAAGATGGTCTGGACGTGAGACAGGACATGGAGCATAACAATGCAGTTCACCCCATTATGTCTTAAAAAGCAGATCGTGCACATCTGACGACAGTTCTGCTTCACAGCTGGTGTCTGACATGGCGCACTTTTGTCCCCCTTTGCGATTCTCCCAGGATCCCTGCCTTGAGGACACCAACAACGGGTACATCTTGGGATATTGTAATTCCGCTCCGGCTTAGTCACGATCCCGCAATTGGATGTGATTGGCGGGGAAGAGGGGCGCTAAAGACGATCTGGATCTGGGATCTCGCCATGCCGCAGAGTTTCATCCTCCCAAATCTGCTCTGCATGCAATCGTCCAAAATTCTCCTCCAATCCTACCCTGTCGTGTTGCGTCAAAGCATTGTTGGTGTTGACGGCTGCCGACGGGCTCGGCATGTTTTGATGGGTGTGCACTGTATGACGAATTCTCGGCACCCTGAACGATTTCTGAAGAGTCGGGCCAAGTTTCAACTCAACTGACTTTTGTTCACAGGTGTGAGGAAACCAGTCGGCTAAATTCACGAACAACCAACACCCTACCTCTCTGTGGCCTAGGTTTCGTTGAACATACCGTTCCACCTCGGACAAGCGAGAACGGCAAAGAATACCTGTTCTCTTCGTTTTCCTTCATACCCCTCCCCCGACCCCCAACGTTGGACACTTTTTTCCCCGATCGAAGAGCCTCCGGGCAACGGTGCCCGTCATGACGTGGCAACCGGAGGAGGATGGGTTGAGACAGTTGGCAGAGTATCTGAAGAATTCATTGAGCGGTCATGATAGGAATAAACAAAAAGAAGCTGAGCTGGTGCGTCTTGACTTCCTGTCGTCTGTCTCTTGCCCGAGACAGAAAAAATATCCGGGGTAGAAGATCCCCGCGCGGGTCTCTATCCCGAATCTTTCTGGAAGAGCGTGGTCACTAACGTCGCCATGGAACAAAACAGATGCTCATGAATGCTCGCAACAACAAGGATTATGTCAATTACCTTACCTACATCTTCAGCACCCCGCAGCTGAGCCAGACTTTGAATCTCGCCGCGCCCAGTCTCTTCCTCATTCGCTATGCTGCAGCTGTCAACCTCAAGAATCACATCAAATTGTTCTATAGCCAAATCCCCAAGGATCAGTTGGCTTACATCAAAGCAGCCACACTCAGCGTTCTTCGAGACCAGAATTCGCAGTTGCGCAGTTTCGCCGGAACTGTCATCACCGAGACGGTCCAACAAGGGGGTCTGCTGCAATGGCCTGAGATTCTGCAAGAGCTGCTTGCGCTTGTCAGTAATACCGGCGGAAATGTTGCTGGAGAGACCCAGGAAGGTGCGATGAGCGCTCTGGCGAAGGTTTGTGAGGATAACCGCAAACTTCTCGACAAGGAATTTCAAGGCCAACGCCCGATGACTGTCATTGTGCCGAAACTGCTCGAGTTCGCCAGCCATTCGAACCCCAAAATAAGGGTGTTTGCGCTTAGCACACTGAAATCATTTATTCCGCAAAAGTCGCAGGTCCTCTTTTCCGCGTTGGATGTCTATCTGCAGACCATCTTTCAACTTGCTTCAGATCCAGATGTGCAAGTCAGACGCATAGTGTGCCAATCACTTGTACAACTGGTAGATTCGAGACCAGACATGCTCGCACCTCATCTCGAGGGCTTGGTCAATTATATCCTCACCCAACAACAGTCGACAGATCACCCGGATCTTGCCTTGGACGCCGCCGAGTTCTGGTTGAGTATTGGGGAACAAGATCAATTGCGAGACCAAATGGGGCCTTATCTGGAAAAGATCATTCCTGTGCTTCTCGCGGGGATGGTTTACGGAGAAGAGGATGCTTTCAGACTAGGCGGTGAGGAAAATAATGCCGACGTCGAAGACCGCGCGGAAGATATCAAACCTCAATTTGCGCAGACCAAGGCGGGAAGAGGCGTCGTTTCAGCGGAGAAGGAGGAGAGTCAGCCTGGAACGCCACAAGCAAATGGGACATCACAACCCAAGAAGGATCTGAGCGATGGGGAAGTCGAGGACGAGGATGAAGACGAAGACGAGTGGGATGACGAGGACCCTGAGAACGCGTGGAGTTTGCGCAAATGCTCTGCCGCAGCGCTGGACGTTTTCGCAGTCAACTACCACTCGGCCGTCTTCAACATCATTCTGCCATACCTCAAGGAAAATCTTTCGCACACGCTCTGGCCAAAGCGCGAAGCTGCAGTCCTCGCTCTCGGTGCCATCGCAGACGGTTGCATGGATGTTGTCTCACCTCATCTCCCAGAGCTCGTTCCGTTCCTCATCTCTCTCTTGTCGGATGAGGAACCCGTCGTTCGTCAAATTACCTGTTGGTGTCTTGCGCGTTACTCCGAGTGGGCCGCTCGATTGGACTCCCAGGCTGATAAACAACGCTATTTTGAACCCATGATGGAGGGTCTCCTTCAGCGCATGCTCGACCCGAATAAGAAAGTCCAGGAAGCTGGCGCTAGTTCCTTCGCTTCTCTCGAGGAGAAATCTGGCGACAAGTTGAAACCCTATGTCGAACCTATTTTGCGGCAATTTACAGAGTGCTTTCGGCGGTACAAGGACAAAAACATGTACATCCTCTACGACTGCCTGCAAACCCTCGCCGACAATGTTGGTTCTCAGATCGCCAAACCGGAACTTGTCGACCTGCTCATGCCCGTATTGATCCAACGATGGAACAAAATTCAGGACGATTCCCGCGAAATGTTTCCCTTGCTCGGCTGTCTAGGGTATATCGCCATGGCTTACGGCGACACCTTCGCGCAGTTTGCGCCTCCCATCTTCGATCGGTGCATCAAACTTATTTACGCGAATCTACAACAGCACATGGCTTTCATGAGTGGCCAGACGGTCGATCAGCCAGACAAAGACTTCATCGTGACGGCATTGGATCTTCTTAGCGCGATTATCCAAGCCATCTCGCCAGAGAAGTCGGCGCCGCTGGTGCAGAACTCGCAACCGCAGTTCTTCGAGCTATTGGGTTTCTGTATGGAAGATGCCACCACGGATGTGCGTCAGTCCGCGTACGCGGTTTTGGGTGACTGCGCGATCGCACTCTACCCCAGCTTAGACCCCTACCTGCCCAAACTCATCCCTATTCTGATAAGTCAACTCGACCTCGACAGCATTCCGGATAGCGATTCTGAAAACGCCTTCAACGTCCTCGCGAACGTGTGTTGGAGCATGGGCGAGATCGCCGCAAGAGCGCCGACCAACAGAATCTCGCCTCTGATCGAACCGCTCTATCGTGGCCTGTTGTCGCTGATTACGAATGAAGAAGTCCCTGACGCCGCGAGCGAGAACGCCGCGACCGCGTTGGGAAGACTCGGTCTGCCATGTCCGATGGATCTCGCGCCCTTCTTGTCCGAGTTCGCAGAGCCTTTCTTGCAGTCCATGTCCAAGATAAGTACATCACATGAAAAGGCTTCGGCTTTTATGGGGTTCAACAACATTTTGGAGAAGAACCCTCAAGCCATGGAATCCAGTCTGGCCTTGTACTTCTCCGCGATCGCGCAGTTCCCGCTCAAAGGCCGCCAGGGACAGGAATACAGCGATGTCCGCGCCAGTTTCACCCGCGTCATCAACGGCCTAGCCGGCTTGATCGGACAGGAGAGGTTCGAGGGCTTCATTGCCGGGCTGCCCGTGCCGGTTCGGGCAAAATTGAGGGATGGCTACGGTGTTGGCTCCGGATGAAAAGGAGAACTGACGCGGGACCTGCGCCGTTTGCGGAAAACCCCTACCGCCCGCAAAGATACGTAAGAGCAAACGAGATCGAAATCAAAAATGGGAATGAAATAATGCAGCAACTAACCCCCAATTCCATCAAGTTACGCTGGGTTGTCTGTAGAGAAGGGGGAGAGGGAAGGATATATTCGGAAAAGTCACGTGCTAAGACAACACAGCACGAGCCAGGGCATGAGCATGAGCATGCGATGAGAACGAGACGACACGATCGATCGACGGGGTGGCGAGATGTAATACAGCAAAAATTAGTTTTGAGCAAGCGAGCTGGCTTGGGTTTCATGAGTTGGAAGACACGCGCGGTTCGCAATCACATCAAAGACATAACATCACAATTCCAATTGCCAACGACGACGTCAACCGGGGCTGTCACAAATGAGAGTTGGACCTTGGCATCAGCTGGACAACAGGATGAGCTATCAAAGGGCTTCTTTTCTTTCTCCTTGAAAAGGAAAAACGACAAATTCAACCAAACTCGAGTGGTCTGCCCCGTCTTGCAGGCCAGTGCCGTCTATCCGCGCGACATGAACGAGCTTCTTGGGACCAGGACCAGGAACGGCTAACAGGCACGGGGACATGAGCAGACAGGAGGAGCCTCGATCGATCAATCGATCCATCGAGAACTGAATATGCGCGTGGAGAGAACCAAGAGCCTTGGAATATGCTGAGCATGTGAACTATCTTGAGGCGGATGATATCGATGCAACTGAACCGAACTGATTGATCTGACCTGGTCTGAGCTGAATTGAACGGAGCTGAGTGAGTGAGCTAAGCCGAGCTGAACCGCAATCGATTGGGGGAAAAAACCTGCTTTTTTTTTTTTTTTTTTTTTTTTTATTTTATGTAGAGAGCGTCACCAGCGTGGTCTTTTTTCCTTTCCCTGTTCCCCCCTTTTCACCAGCTCACACCCTTAGTCTTTCTTCTGTAGCGTAGATAGTCTAGAGTAGATAGTGTAGGCACTCCAACCCCCCCCCCCCTCCCCCATAGCATGGCGCGTTTCTAGCGAGTTACATATGTAGTAGTCTGCAGCAGCACTACGAAGGAGGAGACCGCCGGGAAACAATAATCAGAAATATCAAGTTGTGGTCAACAGCAGTGTGGTATTTGAAAGATAACCGAGGGAGAATATGACACCAACCTGTCTTGCACTTACAAGCAAGCAGCCTTGGTATCGAGAATATGCTAAATGCTGCCTTCTCTGTCAAAAGACAAGCCGGTTTAATCCTCTGCCTTCCCTTGCTGTGTCTTT